AAGTGATGGAATTACAGGCGTGAACCACCCCTTCCAGCCTCCTTGCCTTTTCTAGTTTCTAGATGCTGCCCACATTCCTTGTCTTGTGGCCCCTTCCCCTTCCTCCATCTGCAAGGTCAGCAGTGTAGCATCTTCAAATCTCTCTCTGACCTCTGCTTTTGTTGTTACATCTCTTTCCCAGACTCTGATTTTCTTGCCTCCCTCTTAGTGTTATAGAACCAACAGGTACAAATGCCTCACTACACAGTAATGTTCCGATACCCTGAAACAGCAGGGTACGCAGCAGAGAAAGTTTAACGATCACAGGGCACTGGGTGAGAAGATGGGAGGAGATCCTCAAATCTATCTTCCCAAGGAGTTTTGGGCTGGAGTTCTTAAGCGGATGATGGAGGATGAGGGGCTGAAGGGTAGGGGTCATTGATTGGTTGGGGTAAGGGGCATGAAATGATCAGGACGTGGACACTGCACTCTTTGGTGAGTCAGCTTCTTGTGGGGCCCTTCAGAGCAGCTGACCTCACTGGTATGTGGGACCTAAAAGAATATCTCAAAGGGAAAATTGATGTGTCATAACATCCAAGTTGTTATCTATGGAGCAGTTAAGGGGAACTATAATCTTGTAACAAGGTCTATGTGATTCTGAAGCAATAGGCCCCGACCAACGAAGAGGCAGCAGGTGAGACAGCAGGCTGACCTTGTGATTAAGGCTGCATGAGCTATAAGCTTGGTTAATTTTGTTTCTCCCCCTCCCTTCTTCCTTGATTAATTTTATAAAGTTTATAGGGAGAGTTTCATTAGGAGGCCCTGGTGATTACACTGGATCCACCTGGATAATCTGGGATAATCCCCGAGTCTCAACATTCTTAACTTAATCACATCTGCAAAGTCCCTTTTGCTGTGTAAAGCAATATATTCACCAGTTCTGGGCATCAAAATGTGGACATTTTAGGGATTGGTGCATTATTTTGCCTGCCACGAAGGGTCTGTCTTGTCCTTTATTGTGTGGGGCTCATTCCTGAAGGGGCACAGCAAGGGTTGCTGCTCCTCCTACCTTTCTTTTTTGTCTTTCCAAGTCTTGAAAGGTTTTGGCTCATACTTGCAATTCTGAGTTAATATCTATAAACGCTTTCAATAAATTGGAAGTTGGGGACTTATTTGATATCAAGAAATGTTTCATCATTATTTGAAGTTTGTTGCCATGCTGTGCTATGTTGGGGGAGCATTGAAGTGATGTAAATAAATTTTCAGCATGTATATCAAAGCAAAATAATCCCCAAAGCAGGAAAAATAGTAAACATCCCAAACCCTTCACTTTAGGGGCCCTTATATTCTCTGGGGGAGAGGAAATAAGGTAGCTTGAGCTCCTGGTGTGATGTGTGGTAGTGATGACTGTTTCTAGCTATCTTTTCCTTGACTTCCCAGGGTAAATTAGGAATTCCTCCTCTATTCTTCCATGATATCTACAGTTGAGCTTTACTTTAGAGCATTTATCATATTGTATTGTAATTCTTTGCTTACTTATCAGTCCCGCTAGATTTTATTATAAGCAGAGATCATGTCTTATTCCCCAGTGCATTTCCTGGTGCCTAACATCCTGCCTACCAATAATTATATGTTGAATGGATGAATGAAGGTAATTGTTTCTATAATGGCTTCTGAAGCTTCAATTTTTCTTAATGTTTTTATTTTACATTTCTCACTGACTTGAAGGAATACTATAATGGCAAATGAGATAATTTCTCTGCAGTGCTTAAGATCTTTGGAGAAATGCTTAATTAGGCTAAATCTCATATGCAGATATCAGATGAAACTGTGAGCCAAAATTGACCATTTTCCTTTCATTTTGCCACCAAAGTTGTTGGTTGGGAAAACTTGCCTCCCTGGTGACATTTGAATCAGCTAGAAAAAATATGCACAAATTTACATAATACCTGACAAATGGAAAACACACAGTTGAGCTGTATAAATGAGATGATGAAATAATTACTTAATAATAAGAGCTCTATACTGTATTGGCCACTACACTTCTAACAGCTCACCTTTTAGAAAAATAAAGAATGTGGCTGGGCGCAGTGGCTCATGCCTGTAATCCCTGCACTTTGGGAGGCTGAGGTGGGTGGATTACCTAAGGTCCGGAGTTGGAGACCAGCCTGACCAACATGGAGAATCCCCATCTCTACTAAAAATATAAAATTACCTGGGCATGGTGGCAGATGCCTGTAATCTCAGCTACTCAGGAGGGATTCCATTGGCCAAAGAAAGTCACACAGTCAAGCTCCTGCTGAGGCAGCAGAATCATTTGAACCTGGGAGGAGGAGGTTTTGGTGAGCCGAGATTGCGCCATTTCACTCCAGCCTGGGCAATAAAAGTGAAACTCCATCACAAAAAAAAAAAAAAAAAAAAAAAAAAAAAAAAAAAAAGGAATGTATACTGAATCTTACATGTAAGTTTGTTAATTTCTTGTTGTTGGTGAAGTGATGAAGTAGAAAACATTTCTCTTGACGTTTCATCATTGACACATTAGTGAGCTTTTGCTGCAGTAACAAACAATCTCCCAAATCTCAGTGACTTATAACCATAATTATTTCTTACTCTCGTCATGTGAGGGCTGTGGGATTGCTGTGGTTCTGTTGGGCATGGGTCAGCCCATCTCATTCTTGGACAAAAGTCAAAGCAGTCACCCCCCTGTGGTATGATCTTTTCAAGGCCAAGGGCCGAAGCTCAAAGGGGTAGGAGAACAGGGCAAACTATGCAAGTGCATTTTAAGCGTCTGTTCAGATATGACATATGTCATGTCCACTCACATTCCATCGGCCAAAGGAAGTCACATGGTCAAGCTCGAGGGGAAAGACACTCTGCCTATAGGAAGCATGCCAAGATAGGAGGAAAAAAAAATCGTGAACAAATAAAATCATCCATCACACTCTGCATCCAAAGTAATGTTAGTCAAAGTCATTGTTTGGCCTTTTATGTTAGTTATGCTTTTAAAACTTTTATTTGGAGTTCAATTTATGTAGCCTGAATAATAAAGGTGATTATAATTGATTTGCATAAAAAGGGCTCTCATAAATAGGAGGAAAAAGTAAACAGATTTGGGATCTTAGCTAAAGAAAAAAATTCAACTTCATAAATATAGAAGTGTTTTTAGGGTGGTGATGAAGGTCAGTTATTTTTTATATCTGTGGATGTCCCACCAATAGAAAAGTCTTTAAAGTAGAGATATTGAGGTAGAGTTACATAAGGAACAATTTCTTAACCAGTCAAGTGAAAAAGACATGGAAGGGCAAAAGTTCTCCTTAGCAGACAATTCAATCATTTATCTGCTTGAAGAGGGAAGGCTGGCTAGAGGACAGGTTTCTGCCAATTCTTTGTTTATAGTACTTTGAATCTTGAAATAAAGAAATCCTTTTAAGATAGATAGGTGGTATTACAATTCTTCTTACATCAGTAAAAATGGCATTAAGGAACTTAGAAGCTGGTTTGATGTAGAAAGTCGGAAAAAATGAGAGAAAAATGTAACTTTGAGCATGTATTGCTTCTTCAAAGGATAAAACATCACATGAATACTGGTTTTAATGTATTTGTTCATTTGATTCATACTATATGTCAGGCACTGTGATCGTTGGTGGTTTGGTAAAAAGTTATAAAATGTGTCTGGGTGTGGTGCCTCAAGCCTGTAATCCTGCCACTTTGGGAGGCTGAGGTGGGAGGATCACTTGAGCTCAGGAGTTTGATACAAGCCTGGGCAACACAGCAAGACCCCATCTCTAGAAAGAATACAACAATTAGCAGGGCATGGTGGTGTAGGTTGGTGGTGCCACATACTCAGGAGACTGAGATGGGAGGATCACCTGAGCCTTCGAGGTCGAGGTTGCAGTGAACCGTGATTGTGCCACAGCACTCCAGCCTGGGTGACAGTTAGACTCAGTCTTAGGAAAAAAAAAAAAAAGATTAATACAACTTAAAGTTAAAAGGTCGGAAGTAATCATCTATAAATATCACATATCATCAGCATTCTTGCTCCGAATTTTTGTGGTTACAATTTGAAAAAGAGAATAAGAATAAGATATTCAAACTATAAACGTTAAAAAAAAAAAAAACTACTGCCTTTCAGGTGAGCACATACTTTTTTTTTTCCTTCCTCATACATTTCTAATGAGCTCTGAAATATTTCTAAAAGACAATTGATCCTCTCTGACAGCAAATGCTCATTTTATTTGCTTTTAAGATGGACTTGCGAACGTGGCCATGAGTGAGCAGCTCAGGGCCTGTTGCATTTGGTGACTACTTTAAAAGAAGTGAGGTCTTCTGGAAAGTCAAACAGCTCAGGATTATTGTGAATATGTCCATCAGTGCAGCTGTTTAAGAGGCCCAGAAACCAAGGGTTTTCTTTTGTCATGAAAAGCTGCAGCCATGATATTTTTTTGAAACGACAGAAATATTTGTCAGAGCAGTGGCAGCTGGTATGTGGCATGATTGAGTCTTAATCTGTGTACTAGCAACGGAATGTGTTCGCTTCTTTGTTATAACCAATTTATAGTAATCCTAGCTGACTCTTCCTAGAGCTTCCCTTGAGCCAAGCTGATTGAAGCACTTCAGAATTGCTGACTCATTTAATCCTCATGGCAGGAGGCTAGAAGCTGTTGGCTAGCTGCATACTTATTCCCATTTTGTAGATTAAAAAACTGAGGCACAGAGCCACCAAGAATTTGCACAAGGTCACAACATTAGATGGCGGGGTCAGGCTTTAAACCCAGGCTGTGTTCCATTCATTTGGCTGCCTTTCATCAAGTGAGTCCAATAACCTGACCTCTTATTAAAAGGAAGAAACGATTCCTGTTCCCGTTGGTTTCATCCTACCCTGAGCTTTCTACTTGATTTTCTGGCTCTTCTGGTTTGGACCATGACTTTGTAATTGCTTTCCTTAATGCAGGTGAAGAACTTTTTCCCAGATCCGTGCGGGGTTGAATTGCAAAACAATACAATGTATATACATCCATGCACACTTAAAACGAGCAATGGCCATTTATTAATCAAGAGAGGCTTGACTCGGGCCTAAAATGACCAGTCGCTCTGCAAGGACAGATGTTAAAAAGCGCGGAGTCTCGGAGCGGGTGAGAGAAGGCTCTTTCCCATCCAGGATCCGAGGACTTCCCGCGGGCACGTGGGGTTCGCGTCCTCTCGGAAGAGGCCCGTGGGAGCGGGTGCAGCGCAACCCCTGGCGCCTCTGGGACGTGTGTCTCCGGGCTCCCCGCGGATCTCCCGGCTCCCAGGCCTGGGCGCGTCGCTGAGAGCAGCAGAGGCAGTCTCCGCCCTGGGACTGGGGGCCGCTGTCCCCGGTTTCACCCACAGGAGGAGGAAGGAAGGCGCACCCTGGCCCCGCACTCCCCGCGACCTATGGGTGCCGGGGACGTCAGTCAGCCTGGGATGAGGGTGCCCCCGGCTGGGGAAGAGAGGAGGGAGAGGAGGCAGTGCGCGGGTTTGAGCACTCTCCCCACCGGTGTTTGTCACCTCCCCCGCCTCGATCCCTCCCTCCCCAGCCGCCGCCCACCTGGGCTCCCCGGCCAGCAGCCGCGGTGGCGCGAGGCTCGCTCCCCAGGCCTCCCAGTCGCACCCGCGGCGGTCTGCGGAGCTCTCCGGGTCTCTGCCCGCCTCCTCCGCTGCTGTGCCCCCCCTCCCCGGGTGCCCGACGCGCACGTTCCCTGCCACTTCGGTCAGGGCGCGCCGGTGGGTTTGGCCTGCGCGGCGGCGGCGAGGCGGGGGAGCGAGTGAGCTCGAGGGGCGGGCGCGAGTGGCTGTGTGAGTCACCCGTACCTGGAGTGCGAGCGACGCAGACCCAGAGGCGCGGAGCCGGAGTCGGAGCCGAGCCCCAGCGTCCGCGAGCCCGTGAGCGCGGCCGGCCTCAGGCGCCAGACCCCGCCGCCCTCCCCTTGCACTCGCCCGGGGCCCGGCGCCGACTCCCCACCCGGCGCCCGCCGCCCGCCGCCCGCCGCCCGCCGCCCGCAGCCCTCCCGCCTGCCCGGAGGCGGTTCGGGGCTCGCCGGGGGATGTCACAGCGGCTCCTCGGAGCCACCAGCCGCCGACGTCGCCCCCGGGAACTGCGATCATGAATCCCCAGTGCGCCCGTTGCGGAAAAGTCGTGTATCCCACGGAGAAAGTCAACTGCCTGGATAAGGTGAGCGAGGGGGCGCCGGGCCAGCCTGGACCTGCCGGGCGCCGGGCTGCACCTGCTCCGAGAAGTTTTGGCACCGGGGATGGAAAGCGATGAGTGGGTCGGTGCGTGTGCGTGTGCCTTGGCACAGGGGGAGGGCGCGCGAAGGAAGACGCCTGCGGGAGTGTCAGATACCATGCTTGGCGATTCGATCGTGATGTTGGAACCGGGAAGGGCTTTTGTCGCGCTGCGGGGCTGCGCGACATCGGCCGAGCCGCTGCGGAGGGCGCATGGTAGTGCGCGGCCCCGGGGCCAGAGGGACCAGGCTGGGCACGGGGGGGGGGGGGCGCTTCGGCGAGCCGCGCCCCCTCTACCTCCACTGGTGTCCCACAATACCCCCGCCCCCCTCCCCACAGATCCGCCAGAGTCCCCACTTCCCCCGCCCACCCCCAGCGCCTCCTGTGACCGCGGCGAGGGGGAGAGGCAAATAGTAATTACTATGTCATGGGGCGGCCGCTGCCGCATTGCTAAGAATAATCCCTGCCGGAGAGCCCGGCTCAGCGCGGCAAGCTGGACCCACGGGTGTCTAATCCACCTGGTGGGGAATTCCAGGGGAAGTGGTTTTGCAGCCAGGTCCTTCCAGCCAGGGACGGAGATGAACAGCCGGGGAAAGAGCCCTCCAAGCGCGATCCGATCCGGAGTGACTGACAGTTGAAACCAGCCAGGGGCGTTCTGGGGAAATTTGCCTCTGAAGATACAAATGCTTCGTTAGCACAAGCTGTCATCCTGACAGTCATTCCGAGCAGAGTCCGAGGTCCAGCATTTTAGTGGAAGTTGATCAGGTGTGGGGGTACTTACATAGCCCTCCTCCAGCCCCCTCAGCTTGCCTGACTTCTGGTGAACACATATTTATTGAGATCCTACAGTCCCTGCATTTAGACACTTTGAAGTGGATTCCTTTTGGTTTTAAAGCCACTCTCTGGGCCCCGTTTCTGCATTAACCGAGCTCAGAATTCTTTTCTGGCTGTTCACATAAGTGCTGTTTCGACAGAGCCTTGACAGTTCTTTCATGGTGCGTCAGTATATTGGGGTGGGTCTTCCTTTAAGACTCAGTTTTCAGAGCTGGCTGCTCTATTTACTGAGCTGAAAGTAGGTAAACACGTCCACAGTTCCCTACACTCATTTTGTTGTAGTATTTTCAGCTACAGGGACTCCGAGGCACTAAAAAGCCTTCTTTCTCTGCCCATCCTGGTGAGAACTGGCATGGTACTGAATTTTTAATATGTTTTTTTTCCAGTATTGGCATAAAGGATGTTTCCATTGTGAGGTCTGCAAGATGGCACTCAATATGAACAACTACAAAGGCTATGAAAAGAAGCCCTATTGTAATGCGTAAGTATTGTCAACATGCTTGCCAGGTGTGGCACAGCCTCAGAGCTTGAGAGCCAGTGGACCTGCCTGTTCTGAAGAATTGACTCACTGTGTCACCCAGGTGTGTCAGTGGCCAGTTACCTGTTTATGTCGCAGACTCTGGCGCCGTGTACTTTGTGGACGATCACTGCTTTTTATGCCTTTCTAATGTGTTGGGTAACTTCTATGTGACTTCAACCAGGTTAGTTTTAGAGGTTCACAGTGTTGCAGACCTAGGGACACTTATTAGAAGTGCAGAACTTCCCCACTGAGAACGTGTGGGCTCTGAAGTGCATGTCAGGTAGATTTCCATTTTAATCCTGTGTCAATTTCCATTTTAATCATAGGATGTTGCCATACTGCAGTTTCATACCTGAACCTAGTTGCTATGGAAAGGAGCCTTGCTCATCTGGTCTTAGCTGAGACCACTGCGGAGATTCTGGGCTTAAACAGGAAATCAAAGAATGGTTTGGAGAATGGAACCAAAGACATGGGTGTTCCTGGCTAGTTAGTAGTAGGTCGGTTGTAGTAGACCTACTGCAGTAGACCGGGTACTTCCGGCTGGTTAGTGCTGTAGTAGGTGGAGATTAAAAAAGGTAAGCGTTCTTTGGAAGGCTGTTGTGTAGGCATGCTGCTAGCCTAGAATAGCAATTAGCTAGCATTTATATTGTGCTCACCATGTGTCAAGCTCTGTTCTAAGCACTTTATACATACCGATCATTTAATCTTTATAACGACCCTGCGAGTTAGGGGACACTGCTATTACCCCCATTTGGCTGGTAATGAAAATGAGGCTCAGGACGGGGCTTAGATCACTCCTGGAGGCTGCTGGCAGTTTGACTTGGCTAGTGTTTCCAAATGTCTACCTTGCTGCCCCAGAAGCACATGTTTCTTCACTCCTATGAACATCCCCTCACCCCAGACTATTTTCAACTGTAAGCTCTTGGCCCTGATGGTTTAGTTTTCTCACCAGCTCCCTTATGAGGTTGGCATGAACTGGAGGCAGCAGAAGGGCCTCTGGACCCCTGGCCTTTTGGCTGGAATATTGCCATAGATTCTTCCTTCCTACAGTGTTTGAAGTAGGTTCATCATTCAGGTCTCCTGGAGATGGAGGGCCTGGGATTCATTCATGCTTCATTACATACTGACAGTGTGTTATCACAGGCAGTAAATTTTAGGTAAGTAAATGGAATGTACTCATACCTCTCTGGTGAAGAACTTAAAAAATATTCATCTGGTGAAGACTGTTTAATATTTGTGTTTCCTTAATCCTTAATGCTTATAGGTAAATGAGAAACTTTTCAAGAAATCAGAAAATGGGGGTATTGAACAGAATTCAGGACTTTCTTGGAGAGGAGAAGTCCACAGATATTCCCCAAACTTTCTGATGTTTTCAACCCTCTTATACAATGCTTCCTATTGGAATAGCCTGACGCAAGAATGAGGTTTCGGTGTCATGGTTTCCTGCTTCCCTTCCAGAGACCCATAAACTACTGGTTAAAGATCAAAGGCAGGCATAAGGAGAAGGGAAAAGGCCCCAACCACCCATAAACGGGATAATTGTTCTTTGGTTAAAGGAAAGTGAACCATTCTTCCTGTAACTGTTTCAGTCGGCAGCCTGATTCCATCAGGCTTTATGGACCACATCAGGATTCAGGATTCTTTATAGGGTAGGGCCAGAGTTTAACCCCAGTGATAACAATGCCTTTGGGTGGCCCTGGCAGGCCTGAGGGGATTGGGAGGGAAGGAGGAAAGAGAGAGAAAGAATATGGGGAGAGGATAGCAATTACAACAAGGAGAGAGAACTGGATAAGGGAGGAAAAGAAATGATCAAAAATAAAAAGACAGAAAAAGGTGCAACTGAAATAGAGTTCTTGACTGCATTGGGTGGCTTGAAAATTATTTAGTGCTTATTGCTTAGTTCGGATTCAATCTAATTTAAAAAGTTTGTAAGATTCTGGATGAGTCAGGAAGGGCTATTTTGCACTTGGACTTAGTAGTGATGAGTACCCAGAAATGTTGAGAGTTGCCTCCCCCCACCTTTGCAAAAAATGATTCTACTTATGAAAAAGAAACGTTCTGCTCTATTGCTTCATAGATCTGAATTTTATTTTTAATACTCTCAATATACATGTATAAAATGTTTATAGATTTTTCTCTCTAACATTTCTCATATGATTCCAGTACATTATTATTAGTTTTAAGTTGAATTCTGGGGGTTGCACCCCAGGATTTTTGCTTCATATTGAACCTGGTAGTCCACTTTATTGAGCAGATAAATAGGGGAAAATAGGAATCTATCCTTGTGAATGAATGAGTAGAGAGCTGATATTTAAAATTTACCACTAGAAAATGGAGCCTGGCAAAGTTTTGGGTTCTGCCTGCTTTGAGGGTTCTGGGCTCGAAGGTCCCTGCTGTCAGTCCGTAGTCTGCTAAGGATACGTGTTGCTGTGTAAACTGGCTGGTCAGTATGGACTGGCCTCTGGGGATCCTGATGCATCTGCTCTAATTTAGGTGGTGCATGTCAATCAGCTGTTCCATGTGGTTGTGGCCAGAGGGCCGCCATAATTTCTCTGGGTCAATGGTAGAAAATTGATTCTCTAATGTACACTGCTCCCAGAAAATGAAACATTTGCTTTTCATGTAATGCAATATTTTATCTGTACCTGGTTTGGTTCAGAAGTCAATGTGTACGCATGCTTAAATGAAAACAACTCCATCTTCCCCAGTCACTTTTTATTGTGAAAATTTTTTTTTTGTTTTTGTTTTTTTTGAGACAGAGTTTCACTCATGTTACCCAGGCTGGAGTGCAATGGCACGATCTCGGCTCACCACAACCTCCGCCTCCTGGGTTCAGGCAATTCTCCTGCCTCAGCCTCCTGAGTAGCTGGGATTACAGGCACGCGCCACCATGCCCAGCTAACTTTTTTGTATTTTAGTAGAGACGGGGTTTCACCATGTTGACCAGGATGGTCTCGATCTCTTGACCTCGTGATCCACCCGCCTCGGCCTCCCAAAGTGCTGGGATTACAGGCTTGAGCCACACCGCGCCCGGCCCGAAAATTTTCATACATGCAAAATAATTGAAAGAATAATACAAGGAACATCTATATCTCCTCCACCGACGTTCAACTGTTATGAACATTTTGCCATGTTGGCTTCATGTTTTGATCCATCTAATTATATGTCCAAATATTTTTATTATGTTGGACCATTTTTCCATTTCATACATCACGTTGGTTTCATACATTGTGACATTTCATCCCTAAAAACTACATCATGCATGCAGTAAGAATAAGGACATTTTCTTAAAGAATCACAGAGCCTTTATTATGCCTAAGAAAATTAACAAATGTGTTATTATAACATCTTATATGTTGTTTATTTTTACATTTGCTCCATTGTCCTAAGGATGTTCTTTATAGTTGTTTTTTTAAAAACCAGGATCGAATCAATGTTCATACTTTACATTTAGCTGTTATGAAAGTGACAACTTTTCTTAGCTATTAGAGATTCAATATCAGTTGTTCTAGTTCTGCTATTTTTT